CCTGTTTTTCAGTGCAGTATCTTTTTTTTTTTTTTTTATGATGATTACACAGAAATATCCAGAAACATGGCCAGACATTTTTGGAGAACCCTTCTCAGCCAGAGATCGCCACCAGCAACAGCAAAGAGGAACCTTCCCGGGCCACCACACACAGGAAGAGCGGGTGTTCAGAGTTCTTATGAGTCATTAGGTTTCAGTGTTTAACAGTGCAGCACCGGCCCCGCCCACTCTGCCCATGTGGGGTTGGTGGACATGAACCACGGGTTCTTTGCCCTGCGAGGCTCCGGTACCTTCCCCACTAGCTGGCGCCCCAGGAGTTCCACATGGGAAGAACCAGGTGTACCACCCTCCCTGTGTTCACTCCCTTATCCAGAAAACCAAGCAGAGGAATTCCCACGCTAACAGTTGGAGGACTCTGCCAACAGGTGGGCAGAAGGAGGATGAAAGATAGGAGGGTACAGAGACCCCCAGAGACCAGGCCCATTCCAGAACCTTCCTCTGACCCCCACCGAGACACTCTGGTGGGGTTCCTTGGGCCAGCTGCAGCAGGACCTGGAGCCCAAGTGGGTTGGGGTGGCCTCCAGGGCCAAGGGTGGTGCTGCCTGGCCTGGGCGCTTCCTGGTGGGCCAGATGCCCCGGCCGCTCCTCCTGCCTTGGTCAGCTCTCTGCTCGGGAGCCTCTCTGCCTTCCCTCTCTCCAGGCTTCCTCAGTCCTCTCCACAGCAGCGTGTTGTGGAGCCCTTGTCCTCGGCCAGCAGAACACGGCCACCGGCTCCCTTCCTCAGGAGGCTACTGGGAGACCCTGGAAACAGTGAGTCCAGGCTCCCCAGGAGAGGGAGGCAGCGGCCTCAGGACGCTCTGCGCCCCTGAGCCCCAGGGGGCGGTCAACAAGCCACCAGCCACTCCCTGGGTGACAGAGTCCAGCTGGAACGGCTGTGCCTGGCAGTCGTTCTGAGGAGTGTGGCCATGTCCGATGGAGCCAGGCCTTTGGGACAGCAGGGTCTCCGAGGGAAGCTGGCACAGGCGGAGCTGTGGGATGCTCAGGACCACAGCCTCCCGTGACCTTGAAAGTGGGAGAGATTCTTCAGGAGGGGCCTTTACGGTGGGTGCCCGGAGTCTCACCTTCCCTCTTCTTCACACTGCCTGGGTTGTCTCAGCCCTAAGGACACGGGGCAGGAGGCTGGGTCCTCCTCCCTGGTCCGAGCTCTCCTCGCGGCTTACCCAGTGGGGCTGGCCTTGGGCCCCGTGCCACCCTAGTGCCACCCATCGCACCTCTGAACACAGTTGCTTAGTTTTCTTGGCCCCTCCAACTCGGTAGTGAGCTAAACTGAGGATGGACACAGGCTACTTTTTCTTTTAAATCAGAAGGAAATTAGTAACGACAACCGCGTGTGTGGCCTGCTGTGCCAGGAGCTGCCCGAGGGTGGGACCCACGCAGCACACCTGCTCGCGGGGCCTTAGCTCCAGGGCTTGGAGTTAGGAGGCTTGGCCAAGCTCCCCCAAGTGCTCTGAGCAGGCTGGACTCTCATGAGCGTCCAGCAGTGTCCCACACGGAGGGGCTCTCAACACACTTTCTAAAGCATGTGGACGCAGGAGCACAGGCCGGAATGAAGAGATCCAGGCATTTCCTTCAGTCCGACCACTGGTGGGCATCTGGACGTAGAAGGAACACAGCCCACTCGAGGACAGAAACCTCCGTCCCTCTTGGCACTCCGAGGGCTGGACACCTTGGTGGATACTGAGACACTGGGCTCCACTCGGGCACCTGCTTTAGGACCTGCCTGAAATGCTGACCTGGGAGACTAGGAGGGATGCAGGGAGGGCAGCGTGCGGCCCTAGAGGGGTGTGCTGGCCGACATCACTGATCCTCACAGCAGCGCCAGGTCTGGGCACATCTGCAGGCTGGACCTGGCTCCTCTGCATGGTGGGTGATTCAGGGCTACAGGCACCCTGTCCTGATCAGGGGACGCACAGTTGGCCACCAATGGCCCACCCTCCCTGTCCCTCCGCCTCTTTATCAGTCCTAGCTCACTTCATCTGACAAGAGAGAGAGAAATCAGAACTGTAAGCATCTCGAGAGGCACAATATTGATGATTTACGATCTCTTCTTCTGACTTGAGGATGGGCTACTTATCAGGCGTGGTGTGACTCAAATGGTACTGTGGGCCGGGACACAGACACCAGGAGGCTGAGACCCTGGGGGACAGGGGTGTGCTGCTTTGGGGCTGCGCCTCCCACCTGCTGGGCCAGCCACTGGGTGCCTGGAATGTGCCCAGGCCTTGCTGCAACCTACGTGAGAGCACAGAGGGTGTGAGCAGGACAGAACAGAACGGCAGCCTCCGTCAGTCAGTCCACGTGGGTTCTAAGCTGAGTGACAGGCTGAGGTCTATCAGGCTAAAAAAATAATATTAAAACTGATGTGGGGGGCTGGGGTTGTGGCTCAGAGGTAGAGCGCTCACCTAGCGCACGTGAGGCTCTGGGTTCCATCCTAAGCACCACATAAAAATAAAATAAAGGAATGTGTGCACCTGCAACTAAAAATATATTTAAAAAAACCCAAAACCCGATGTCAGTGTTTTTGCTGACTCCCTCTGGCTGAGGGCAGGTGGTGTCTGCACGTGGGGCCAGCTTCCTTCTTCTCACGACCCACTACAGCTGCTGCCTGGCTTCAAGCCCCTGCCACTGTGGCCATGAGCAAGACCACCTGGGTCTGACTCTGCCCCAGGTGAAATGGAGACTGTCATGCCAAGGGCCGGAACACAGAGGAGGCTGAAGAGAAGGCACCAGGGAGCAGGTGGATCAGCTGCTGCGCCCGGTGCCACAGCCTGAGACGTGGGTGCAAGGGCCTGCCACCCTGCTGCAGCACAGGAAGGAGGCTGCTGCGGGGTGCTCTACGGTGTCAACAACAGGAAGGAGACTGCAAGCCACAGAGAGGGGTTCAGAATCGGGAGTTCAGGCCCGTCATTCTGAGACCTACCACACCACGCCATGGGAACAGTCTGGCATTCTGATCAAAGCTGTCTTCCTACTTTCGCTTTTGGTGAGACTAGATCCTTCTTGTGCAGAGTCTCAACATAAACCAGGTCCTTCATGGTAACTAAACCCGTTAGCATTCAATATTACTGCTAATTATACAAGGAAAGTATCCATAGTGTGCTTTAAGCATGCGTTAAATGGTGAGTCACCCATCGGAATCTTCGTATTTATAAATCATTTAGGCAAGGCACGCGACGGCACTGTCCTGACTTTAGGTAAGGTGGGGTATAAACAGAGCATTAGGCACTCACTCACTTGCTTCACATGGATGTTCTGAAAGCAATCACCCATTTGGCTCATACAGAAATCGAGCCCAAGCAAACCAGGCAAGGACGCACACTGCCGAGTTCATCAATAAAAGGCTACTGCAGACCACATGGAAGGGTGTCAAGGCCATAATTAGCTCAGCTCAGTTCCCTGGGTATTTCAGAAGAGTGGCTGTGTGGGTGGGTTGGGGTGGGCCAGGCTCAGCCTGCGAGCTCCAAACACTGCCCTGGGTCTGGTTTTGCAGCATGCCTGGTTTTATGCAGGATACAGACAGTGCCCACGAAACAGAACCGTTTCCCATGCCCTGTGACTGAGCGTAGATTAATGGTTCACACGCAATGCTGGGCAGACTTACTCACAATCTGAACTGATTCTCAAGTGGACAGGAAGTGAGGCAATGAGGACCCGCTGGCCACCTGTGGTCCATGTGAATGTCACGTGTCTTATGCAACTCAGAAGGAAACTGCAAGTGCCCTGACTCAGAGCCATTCCTGGGATCAAGGCAGTGCTGAGCATCCTGATCAAAGAGGCTGAGGTGTACCTGAGGGGAGCTGGCAGACACTGTGCCAGAGTTCAAGGTCACGTCTGAGTAGCTGGAAGAGTTGGGATGGTTTTGAATCCGCAGTTTTGTGTTTGCTTCTCTGTACTCCCCTATGTTCTATGAAGGGGAAGGGCACAGAGGGAGGTGGCACCTCACAGGTGGAAAGGGGTGCGTGGGGGGAGATGGCAGCACACATGCTTATGGAGGGGCCAGGGGCCAGGCAGCCTGTGAGCTAAGGCCCCTCCGAGTTCGAAGGTAGGAGGGACAGGCCCTTGGCTCTGGAGGAAAGCCCAGGTGGCACAGGTGCAGGGCCAGCAGAGGGAGGGACCTGGCACCTTGGTTTTGGAAACCCCAGTGGGCATCTGCGTCTGGGTCTCGGGGGCTTGACAGCTCTCTGTGAGACGCACATGGGTGGGGGCTGGGCGCAACCCCAGGAGGGAAACCGGGGGGTGCAGTGGGTAACATGGACAGAGGGCCCTGGGCTTCCCCCAGCCACCAGGCGGTGGATTCAGAAGGCAGGGCCTTGGGCAACGGCTCCCCTGTTTTCCATCACTGGGCCGCTGAGGGAGTCAGAACAAGTTCTCCAGCCTGGGGCTAGGGGCCTCCTGCCCGGCCAGAGCGAGGGCCAGAGCTCAGCTCCAGGAGAGAGAAAAGGGAGGCTGAGCTCTGGAAGCCAATATGCTGAACTAGGGTTTGAGCACAGAAAAATCTGACCTGTCTCCCGGTTCTCGGATTGGTCTAGATTCTCCGGCTTTTCTGAAATAGCAGCTGGTTAGACAGCATGAAATCTGGGAATACTGCTAAAAAATAAGACCTTTGAAAACACAGAGTGTGTCTGTGTGCGAGCCAGGGAATGCGTAATCTCTCCTTTGGGAACCTCGGACTAAGGCCTTGGGCAGGGAGGGCCTCCCTCTGGGCCTCCTCCTCCTCCTCTGTCTCGCCTTTCCCCTCCCCTCCTTCCCTCCTGGCCTCCAGCCCTCTCTTCCTTCCTTCCTCTATTTCCCTCCAAGGGCAGGACCCACCGACCACACACACTCGTCCTGAATACACTGACAACTGTGACTGGTGACAGTGACAAGGCCGCCTCGGGGCTGGCTACCTCAGGGGAGTCACCCTCTGCTGTTTTGGGCACGAGGACGTGGGGTCAGCGTCTTACCTTACTGGCTTTCTCCGCACTCGACTCTCTCTTTCCCACGTGGTTTCCCATCCTCAGCCGGTGACCTCAGAGCTGCAAGAGAAGGGGAGGTGTGAGCTGGAGGGCAGCACTTCAGCTGTCCACACTGGTTTTCCACCAGAAGAGGAATTCTGTGAGATGTCACACTCATTTTTAAGAAGGGAAAACCAAAGCCCTGAAAGCTGGGGAGACGTGGCCACAGCCATCTCCTTAGCAAGTGCCACTGTCTCCAACCCCACAAAGAGCTAGAAACAGTGCAGCTCCAGGGCCCAAGCTCTGCCCAGGAGCAGACACCCTCCAGCATGCCTCCTCCTACACAGAAATGTCAACACGGGTCCACATGCAGATGCACACAGTCACACCTCACACTCAGGTGTGACACAAGATGAACCGGGCGGTCAGGGAGTGCCTGGCCCTTCGAAGGGCAGTGGGTCCTGCTGCCTGGGAGAACCTATGAGACCACAGAAGGGCAAAGCCAGACGGAGACTGCATATCAGACAAGTATGCAAAGAATTTGCAGAATCTGCGGGGAAGATAAAGTCAGATGAAAACAGCATGCGGACCTCCTTCTTACGTTCTACCCAAATCTCAGCAACAAGTGCCTTTAACTCCCCCAAACGCACAGAACTAAAGAGTTTAGCCAAAGCCATTCAAAACAAATGCCTGTCCCATCCTCTCTGGGCCTGCAGCAACCATGAGGAGCTGGTCAGCCACTTGAACCATCATGCTTGGCCTGGTCCCTGGTGACCAAAGGCTTTGGGGACAGAGACAGAAGTGTCATTTTTCATGTCACATTCTTTTTAAATATGTGAGCACTGCTCCTCTGCTGTACCCAGGAAAGGTGACAGAGTAAGTTATGTTCTAAAATGGGGAAGAGGCATTTCCTAAATGTTAGGAGTCTTGAATACAAGGCACGGCTCGTTGCTCAGAGGCCATCTCCAGACAGGAATGCTGCCAACACCTGGCTTACCCCCTCCCCACTGACCAGGGCCCTTGGTGACTGGACTATTCCCAGGGGCCGGGTGCCACCATGCGCAGGAATAGGGAGGAGAGAAGCGAGAGGCCGCTGAGCGCCACAGGTGGCCCTTGCTGGGGTCCATGCTGGGCTGGGCCCATGCCCAGGTAAACGTACAAAAGGAGTCCCCACGCTACATGCCAGTCTCCAAACTGAAACCGAGCAGTTATCTAACCTCCAGGAAGGAAGCGGTCACAGCCCAGACTCCCAGACCCGCTGGCTGCTCTCGGCATGAGGTCAGCTCCTGTCATACTCTGCTGATCCCCGGGGAAGGGCGGCATGAAGTAGCCTGCCGCTGACCCGTGGCTTCTCTGCTGCTCTGGCCCTGAGCCTGTGAGCAGGGCAGCTCTGAGACGACCCACCGGCCTATTCTGTGTCTTTCAGCCTCTGGACCAGGAGACCAACTTCTGCTCAGCCTGCGAGACGCTCGTCCCACCTCGTGGAGCAAAGCGTTGCTCAGTTCTAGAAGTGGAGACCAGCCAAGCAGGGTCCTGAGGAGGCCCTGACGCCCACACTTGCTGGGCAGCAGGACTCCGGGGCAGCAGTTGCTGGATGGCAAGACTGACCTGCCGTGCACACAGGAAGGGCCTGTGAGCCACACCTCCCAGGGGCCCGTGCAGGACTTGAAAGGGGCTCTCTGTCCAGCACCCTGGACCCAGAGCTGATGACGCTCTAGTCAGCCAAAGACACAGCTCCAGTGGCCACAGGCACTGCCGACTGAAGGACAGAGGGAACCTGTCCACAGTTTGACACGTACATTTCCAAAGTGCAGGCTCCCACAGCATTCCGTCACCCACCTTACCATTTACTTGAGTGGGGCGACCAGGAAGCCTGCCCTGAACCAACCTCTCAATGGGAAGTAGAGGTCGGGGCGGCGTGTTACTCTGCTTGATAAGGTAAAAGGTAAAAGGAGCCAGAGAGACACTCTAAATGAGGAGCAGAAATTGGTCTCCTGGTCCAGAAGGCTGAAAGACACAGAATGGTGTCTGAAGGAGAGTAGGTGTGTCCCTTGTGAGATGGAGGCGAGGATGCTGGGAATTTGGGGCTTACATTTGACCCCTCTTTAAATCCACACAGTGTGGTTTAAACCAAGTATTGAGAATTCATAATACAAACGGAACAAATAGAATAACAATGCATCAAACATCGTGGGTCTGCCTTCTGTTCAGTAAAAAAGAACTGACCCATTCAAAAGTAAACACAGCCAGCCGCATGCTGCACACCTATGATCCCAGCAGTTTGGGAGGCTGAGGCAGGAGGATCCCAAGTTCCAGACCGGCCTTAATTTAGTGAGGCCCTCAGAAACTAAGTGAGACCCTGCCTCAAAATTAAAAAAAAACAAAGACTGAGTGTGTGGTTGCGGCTCCGTGGTAAGTGCCCTGGGTTCAATATCCAGCACCTAAAGAAACAGACAAAACAGACTGACAGACAAGAATGAGAACCTCACACAGCAGAAGTCGTGGATTCTGAGCTTCTCCTAGTCAGGACTGGCGCCTGGGTGTGGGCTATCTGCCTGTCACAGGCAGGGAAAAGCCCACGTCACCGTCCGTCTCTCCAGATGCCCATCCGCTGGGCACTACCACACTCCGCTTCCTTCCACCCTCTGCTGTCCATCCTCACGCCACCCCCCAGTTGGTATCAGCCAGATCCAGAGTGGTGTTCTCTCCTCAGGATAAAACCTAGGGATTTGTCCCAAATTGGAATGTAAGTATTTGTGAGTTGCTTGTGGGCCAAGGAGAGGTATCTGGGGACAAAGGGCCCTCGAACCAGCTGAAACCTAACCCCAGGGCATGAGCGGCTCCCGGTCGGTCAGTGTCCTGATCAGACCTCATCATGCTTCACAGTAAAGCTCCAGCTCACACGGGGCACTGAAGTCCATCCACACCTCAGAAACTCAAGGCTCCTGGACACAGAATCGGTTGAAATGACACAAGCCAGAAGAGACTTTCAAACAAGCCTGTCAGGCGCGACTGGCTCTACATGAAGACCGACTTAGTGGCGGGAGGGGGACAAGAGACACCAACACCCGAGCCCGAGCACTCTAGACCAGGGCCTCATTGTTTTGTGAGCATCTGTACCTGCCCTGGGTCACCGGGCCATGGCAAGCACAGTCAGGTCACAGGCCCCTCGCTTCCCGGCCCTGTGGTCCCATGGAGTCGGCCTGGGAGGGGAGTCACAGAAGGGTGCAGAGGCAGCCGGCCAGCTCTGGGCTTCCAGTGGGGCTGGGAGCTGGAGAGCCCTGGGCAGGCGGCTGTGTGGTGAGGCCACCCTTACCTTATCTCATTTGTACCATTAACCGAGTGGCAGGAGCAAGAGGAAAGCCCGGGGATGTGCGGGGGCAGCAGGAGGCCAGGCCCACTCTCGGCCATGGGCAAAGAAGCAGCTTCTCCTAAAAGAGCAGGAAGGACAGGGACGGGCATCCAGGTTCCACGGGGCCTGCGACAGACTTCCAGACTGACAGTGGGACCCTGCACGAGGAGGTCCCGCCAACGGGAAGGTCTGAAGTCCTAGCGATACTGTCACCATGGCCCACCCTTCGTCTCAGTTCAGGACTAGCATTCAGCACGGGTGGTCGGTCGGTAAACCGACTTACTGGGAAGCAACCCGTCTTGACTAGCTCCCAAAGCAGCTCAGCTCCTTGCTGCTCCCGGGAGGAATGACCCACTCAGAAGCCATGTGGCTGGTGCATGGAGGCCCTGGTGCTGGGCACGAGGACCAGCCCCTGCTCCTGGTGTTTGATTCCCTCCGCAGCAGTTCAGACCTTCTAGAGCGCATGGCTGGAGACCCACAACTCGCAGTGCGACCCCAGCTCAGTGACCTGGGGCGAGACCTCACTCCCTGAGCCTCTGCTGGGCTGCTAGGGACAGGTCAGGGTCGGGGCTGCCGTGGTGCGGGGTGCCCTGAGGGGCGCTGGAGGAGCGGTGGGCTGGGGTCAGCGCGGGTTGTTCCCGCGGTCTCTCCTCTTTCTGGGGCCAGGACTACCTGGGCCAGTGGGAGCGGCTGAAGACACACGGTCCAGCCCTCCACGATCAGCAGGTCCCTGGGTCTGGGACCCCACGTGAGTTGCAGCCACTCGCCTGGGTCAGACCATGGAGCCTCAGGGCAGGGAGGTGGGGGAAGAGTGGGAGGGAGACAGGCACCCCCTGAGAGGAGGGCCCCTGGGGGAGGCCGGGTCATCTTTGACGAGCTTTATCCCTCTGGTTTCTGTCAGCCTGGGGTCACGGGAGTGCCCCCATAGGCCTGCAAGCCTTCTCCCCATTCTAATGGAGAAAGTGAGGTTTAAGGACCACCTCTAGGTGAGTGTGCCCTAGAAAAGTATTTCATTAAAAGCAGCATTATGGGGGCTGGGATTGTGGCTCAGCGGTAGGATGCTCGCCCAGCACCGGCGGGACCCGGGTTCAATTCTCAGCACCACATAAAAAAGTAGATAAATAAAGGCATTGTGTGGTGTCCATCTACAAAAAAGATTCTCTCTCTTTAAAAAAATAAAGTAGCATTACCAAAAAAAGCAGGGTGATCTTGATATCCTATGCACTGTGAATGTGCTCCACGTAGAAAACAAGTTTTCTGGTAGGCCTGAGATGTCCCGCATTCCTTAGTGATTAATCAACACAGGGTGCCAGTCAGCTTTTTCACTGCTGTGACCAAAGCACCTGATAAGAACAACTTAGAGGAGGAAAACTTTATCTGCAGCCCACAGTCTCAGAGGTCTCAGTCCATCAAAGGCTGAGCCCCTGCTCTGGGCCCAGGGAAGTGGCACAGCATGGCGGAAGGGTGTGGCAGAGGGAGGCTGCCAGCCTCCGGTTGGCCCAGGAAGCAGGGCAGGGGAAGGGCCTCAGGGACAATGGACGCTTTCAAGACAGCTCCCAGTGACCACCTCCTCCAGCCACACAACCACCAGCAAGTCCCCTCAATCCAGGACAGACTGGTCAGGTCACAGCTCTCACAGTCCAGTCACTTCCCCTCTGAACACTCCTGCATCAACAGCCTTTGGGGGCGACTCACAGCAAAACCACACTCAGGAGAGAGAGGC